TAAGAAAGGGCAGCAAGATGCAGATGAAACCTATATGCCCCTAATCTCTAATTTTTAACATTTATCTCAGCTGCAGCAAGGCGCAGCCAGAAGTTTATAACTCGAAATGAATTAATTTTGCAAGAAAAAAGTCTAGCAAAAACAACTTTCGATAAAAAATTATACAAAACTCCAAAACGCATGTTTTTACATAAAACAGGTGAATAATAAGAGTACATACCATAATTCTTGCACCTCCATATTATCACCACGTGAAAACATTAGGCTTAAAATTATAATCCACAAAAAAAGTAAGTAAGTTGCAATGACTTCGTCCCGGTAATTAAACCCGAGAAGCTGTCATTTGCGATGGACGAAAGTAAATGACAGTTTGAACTAATTGAATTGTTATTCATATTTTTTAAAAACTCGCGCCTACTCGATAACTTAGTGACTCATTTAGACCGTTGTAAACTCATCAATGTTTGGGATTTTTGGCTTATGGAGGAATCTACTGTACAGTCCTTTCCAAGTTATAGACGGGCCAAGGATTGCCGGACAGACAAACAGACCAATAGACGATTTTTCGTGATGTACTTGTAATGTAACATCGAAAAAAACATAATTTAATTTTCGAAATAGAACTAAGGGATCAAACTTCTAGGGGTTATTCAGTGTAACAGTAGAAAACATTTGAGTATAGGGACCCACATCCGGAAAAGTGACCTACGGCCCTAAGACGCGTTAAAATTTACAAGACGATGAATTGCCTAAATAGGATTTAATGCATTTAATTTTTGCCTTTTGTACATGATATCATCACAACAATTGTACAAAATGTCTTCCTCCAACGTGAAATCACCGATTTAAACGTCGCACATGATTTCGGCGGACTTGACTAAACATTTGATACTCGTTTTAAGTGATTTCAAATGCTGCTGTAATCCGTCCAATTAAGTCTTGCTCTGTTTCTACTGGAGTTTCGTAAACCAGAGACTTTACATGTCCCCACAGGAAAAAATCTAGCGACGATAAATCGGGTGACCTAGGAGGCCAAGAAACTGCTCCACCTCTGGCAATCCAGCGGTGCCCAAACCGCTGAGCCAAATACGCACGTACCTGTACAGCAAAGTGAGCCGGCGCTCCATCATGCTGAAACCACATTTGCTGTCGAACGTTCAATGGAACATTTTCAAGAAGTTCTGGAAGAACTTCCCCCAAGAAACGCCGGTAAATAGGTCCTGTTAACCGTTCCGGTAGAAGGTATGGCCAAATCAAATAATCATCAACAATGCCTGCCCATACGTTGACAGACGATGGTTGCTGATGTTTTCTAGGAAAAATTGCACGGGGATTTTCTTTGTCCCAAACGTGGCCATTCCTACTATTAAAAATACCGTCTCTTGTGAAAGAGGCTTCATCGGTCCATAAAACATAGCGTAAAAAATTTGGTTGTGCAGCGATTTGATGAAGAAGCCATAGACAAAATTGAACTCTACGATGATAATCGGCTGCACTCAATCCTTGAACTTTCTGGAAGTGGTAAGGATAAAGTTGTTGCTCGTGTAGCACTCGCCAGACGGAAGCGATACTCGTATTCATATCCTCAGTAATGTAACGTGTGCTACTTGATGGTTCGTAGGCAACTCGCTGAAGGACCTCTTCGATATGGAATACAGCTACAAAAAACAATCTCTGTTATCGTTTTTAAAGATAACAACGCACAAGCGCCGAATATGGGTCCCTATACTCAAATGTTTTCTACTGTTACACTGAATAACCTCATAGTTCTGAAACTCCCTGTATTTCGCGATTGCAATACTTCCTCGCCAGTTGATTTTTTAGTTAATGTAAAAATTAGTCTCCAATGCTTCGAAATTTTTAAGAATGGCCCTTAAAAGAATCCACACTGAAACATTAAATTTCAACTCACCATGTGGATATCGCGCGCCTGCGCTGGCAGTTTTTTCGTTGTATCCATAATCGCCCCTGCTAAAACTCATTTTCCTCTTCTCAAACCTTCTAGCTCACTCCCAGTTATTACCTATACTATCTCATGTCGCCAACAGGCTTGTTTGGTTTCCTGTAATGAATAATCTAACATAAACATCCATTCACAAACGAATATTCTTAAAAGATTAGTGCTTATCTTGGAAGACCGTTATAGAATGCGAGATAAGGAAGCAGTGCTGCGATAATTATTAATCGTAGCCCGCTTCAGCCCTAGCTTCTAAGATGTCCACAAGACAGTGATGCCTAATTTGAGTATAGTCCCATATAAGTTGGATTATTATGTCAAAAACAGGGTTTTCAAAGTTTAAATATCAATATTTTGCATCCTACGCTTACGAAATGGAAAAACATGTCCTTCAAAGTTCATAAGTAAGCGAAAAGACGAGCACAAACTGCATCAACCTTGAAAATGAATGTAAACAAAATTTATCAGATAACACTATATCTTAGAGGTATTTTGCAAGTGATATAGTTCCTTGCACTCGGATTTCATACAAAATTACAGTTTAACCTTTATCTGCTGCCTTTGTCTAATCTAGCCAACCATATATTGCATTCCGGCGTACAAAAAGGGATCTGAGAGATCCTAGCGCTATCTAAGAGACATTCGTAGAACACACAAATGAATTTAGATATCTTTTGAAAGATTTAGCGTATGTGGTTCCGCTATTGTCTCACAGATGGCGCTAGGATTTTCAATACCTTTTTGGCGCCTTTCTAATGCTTATTTTAATTGGGCAGCCTCAGGGATTGATTAAGGTATTCCTCCTGAAGACATCCAATTTAAATAGGCATTAGTAAGGTGTTTGATGATCTTAGCACTATCTATGAAACAGTAGAGGAACCAAACGCTGACTATTTTTAAAGTAGCTTTTTGAATTCATTTTTATGTTCTGCTACTGTCTTATAGTTGGCGCTAGGATCTTTCGGATCCCTTTTTGGACGCTGGAATGCATAATGCAGCATGTCAAGGGGTACTATATTACCTTCGCGTTCGACAGTCAGAGACCATTAACCACCTCCGAGCAATCACAAAGTCCATAGCCAAGAGAAAAATTTCTCTTGGGGCGGGATCCGAACCCGCGCAGCGCACGGCAGCTGATCAAGAGACCAAAGCGTCTACCACTGATACCATCGCTTCTGCCCAAATCTTTCGACCAGAGCGACAGTCAGCCATCTATATGCAAAGCTTCTCTGGGAGGCCGTAGGATGGATTATTGCATAAGAGCGCAGCATGCTACAGTTGATCGAAAGCTTTCGTTATATCAAAAGCAACCACATGAGCCTCACCATAAGACTGGATGAGTTTACGCCACAGTTGCGTAGCCTAAGCTAGGAGGTCTCCTGTGGTTCGCTGGTGCCGGAATCCATACTGCTTCTCGCTAATCAAGCCGAGATACTTCAGAAGCTCCCGATATATGCGCCTCTCCTTCACCTCACTTATAACAGAAAGCAGCGCTATAGTCTCGGTTCTTGAACCTTTTTTTGGGATGGGTTGGATATGAGCAAATTCCCCGTTTTCTGGGAAAGTGCCGGTGTTGTAAGATATCTAGAAGAGACGCAAAAGAGCTGCACATCTATTCAAACAACGGTAGGAATCAAGTCCGGACCAATCGTCGGCACTCAGGTGTTGGGGAGGGGGCAGAGTAGATGTTACCACAAGAAACTTGGTAACAAGGGGCTGTTCTACAGAGCGGGGTCCTCTCACCACTTCTTTGGAACCTTGTTCTTAAAGGACTCTATACCCAGACGACGTCGCAGTACTGCTTAACGGTTAATTTCTAAGGTACAATCTGCCCTCTGCGGATTATAGAGGAATTATGCAGTTACGTTTTCCTTCTGAGGCGTCTACCAGCTACAAAAGATGAAAAAGAAGAAACGAGAAGAAAACGGAAGTCCTTGTATTTTGAACTTGACTGGTTCTACAGCACGTGTACAAATTGAATTAGTTTTTCATCATTCATGTTTTTGACCAATTATATCAAAATATTGACGAAATTACATAAAAACGCGGCCGTAAAAATCGAAAAATATCGTTCCAAAACAATGCGATGATCACGGTACGGCGTCGTCGATGTCACTGAGAACATGGCCACTTCCACGTGCCGGTCTAGTGTGAATCAGTTCATCCAAATTCCAGGAAGAATCGTTTTAGTTTTGCCGGACGGATCACGTGGCGGTCACAGCACTAATACGACACGGCTGAGTATGAATAGGCCTTAAGTCGGCTACACCGGGCTGCAGATATGCCTTAGCATAACTGGTACTACGCGAACTACACCAACGAAAGCAATGGAAGTATTTCTGAACTTGCCACCAATGTTTATCTGGAAGAAGTGGCTTTGGAACATTGGTGTAGAATAGCTAGAAGTCGCTTATGGAATACGGCAATTATTAACGTGTCACTTCTGCAGGCTGACATAAAGTACCTGTATTAAATAAGGCCATGCACCTAATAGGGCCATGCGTCGATTTTACAGAAACTATAAACATTTAAAATTGAAGATTTCTGCAGTTCTACAATTTTATTGAAAGCTAACTGCCATAAATTCAGCAGCTGTGAAGCGGCGCTAGATGGCGCTGTAGGACAGCGTCTGTTTTCAACATGTGCCTTATAAAATTTCTGCTTTAAATTTGTCTCCGTTTTTGCATGTTGTCAGCTTCTTTTTGCGGAATCTCTTGTTAATTCAAACAGATAAGTCTATATCTATAAGGCATATGTAGGTAGTTATTTGCTGTTGCCAGGTTTTTAATGTTTTGATTTTGTAAATTGTATGTTTAAGGTTAGATGTGCGTAATAAGGCCATGTTAAATGGTTCCCAGAAGAATACTAGGGATGTCTTTTAAGTTTTGCATATGGAAATCAACAACACGGTAGGTAATTTTATATGACTATTGCTTTTCGAAGTATTCTCCACGAAGATTAATACACATCTGCATGCGCTCGAACCAATTTTCGAAGCACTTATTCCACTCGTTTGCTGGCAGATCCAAAACGGCATTTTTGAATGCGTCAACTGCTTCTTCTGGTGACTGGAACCTTTGACCACGCAGTCTGTTTTTAATTTTCGGGAAAGTAAAGAAATCGTTAGGACAAAGATCGGGACTATATGGAGGATGGTCCAATAATTCCACGTTTTCTTCCGTTAAATACTGCCTTGATTATTGGGCTGTGTGCGAGCTTGCATGGTCTGGGGGAGGATGATTCTTCTTTCGGGGTTGATTTTTCGAAGCTCGGTGATGACTTTTGGCAAACAAATGGTGGTATACCAATCCGCAGTAACAGTTCTTTTTGCAATATGACCCGCTTTTGACACAAATGTCGTGACCATCTTTTTCGAAACACTTCGAGAACGGATTACTTTTGTTGGCTTTTCTTCACCTTGGAACACCCAAACAGCCGACTGATGTTTATTTTCTGATTCATAACAGTAAATCCACGATTCATCACCACTAACAATCCTGTACACATTTTTTGAGTTTCCGGAATTGAAACGGTCAAGCGTTTTTTGACACCAATTAACCCTGGCTGCTTTCTGCTCTTCAGTCAACGTATCCAACGAGAAATTATTTTTCTTACTCCTAATTCTTCATGTAAATTTTTTGAATTGAGGTCTTTGAGGTCTTCAAGGACGCCTCAATCTCGCGATATGTCACATGTCTATCTTCAATGATGAGTTTGCGCACAGCGTTTTCCTGGGTGACTGCCGTCTTTGGTGCACCCACCCTGGGATCGTCGCTAAGAATTAATACCAACGGGAAATTGTCGACTGATGTGGCGCTTCGTTGCCGAAAACAGACAGTAACTCAGCAAGGCATTCTTGTTGCGATAATTGTCTCTGAAAGTTGTAATAAATTATGGCGCGAAAATGTTCTCGGTTGAGTTCCATTTTTATAATGACTTGGTGACACTTAAAAATTCACTGTAGTGAGAACACTGCACGTATTGTTGTGGAACTTTGAATTTAAGTGTACTAAAGAGTGAGGTTAAGATTCAGTACTGACGTTCGATCCGCGCGGCCTACTATGTTTCTATATGCAAAACTTAAGACATCCCTCGTAAAGACGAAAACTGGGACTGTTTCATGTGCGATAAGGATGAAATACGTGACATGTGTCTGTGTGTAATATGCTTAAGATATGTCCATGAGGAATGTGTAGGCTTGTGTAGAAGCGATAAGGTATCATTTGTTTGTCATCAATGCGAAGACAAAAACAAGTAGATTTACTTGAAATCTATCTGGGTTTAAGAATTATTTATTGTTGTTAATTAGAATTATATCTTCGTTTATTCAAAAGTCTTGTTTTATATGTTGAGCGTGGCTTGATTAAAAACCAGATCATTGCCTTATTTGAATACCTGGATTCCTAATAAGGCCAACGGTAGTGTTTCAAAAAAAATATATTTTTTATATGAAAAGTTTTCGGAGCTCCCCGATATAGATTATTCACTGAACATACCTATAATAATACCTTTAAAATTTCATGATCGTACCGCAAATATTTATCTAAGTTACAGCTATAAAAACGTTAACGTGGCCTTATTTGGTACAGGTATCTTAGACACTATTCCTCCGATGTTCATCTATGCTCTTATGACAGCTTCTGAAAACCAGATCGAGGAAGGTGTTATTAACATTTTCACTGAGAGAGCTAGAAAATGATGGGGCCGTATGGAGTATAAGAGCTTCTGTATGAACTGCAAGTGGTCTATGAACAAATATGTTCGTCGAAATAGCTGCCATAACTTTATCCGCAAAGGAAATTGCCTACAAAAATGAAAATTGCATAAAGAAATGTAACAGGAAAAAATATTAGAAACTGCACGGACAGCAGATAAGTCAATACTGACTCTCGAGTGTTGTAAGCTTACAACGACAATAGCACAAGACTGCACTTGTCACTTGTGAGTGCCTCCACCAGTAATAACAAAACTGTTGCCTGGTCGAAGGGTCATTCACAATTCAAGGGTAATACAGGGTGGTCCATAAGTCCTTTGAAATTTCAAATTTGAATAAAATTTAACGGGTGAGCGTGAGCGGCGCGGGCGAGGTGGGGGCAGTATCTTCAGTGTCTGGGAATTCAGTCGCCATGGAGTGTTTCATTGGAGCGGATCGTGCTTTTTGTGTGCGCGCGTTTTATCAAAATAATGATTCGGCAACCATTGCGCGGCGTAAATATCGACAATACCACAATTTACACAATTTTACAAAGTGTCCAACAGCTCAAACGGTTAAGAACTGGGTTGCTAAGTTCGAAGAGACTGGTTCGACGTTAGATAAACAGCGGTGGGGTCGACCAAGGACAACTCGTATTGAAGAAAACATCAACATTGTGGCACAGTCTGTTCGTCAAAATCCTACCCAGTCTACTCGTAAGCGTTCCAGTGCACTAAACGTACCCAGAACATCTTTACAGCGGATTTTAAGGAAATATTTACGTCTGCACGCTTACAAAATTCAGTTAGTGCAGGAATTAAAAGATAATGACGCTATTCAGAGACTAAACTTTGCGAATGAAATGTTGAATCGATTTTCTTCGCTCAATAATGTGTTGTTCTCGGACGAGGCTCACTTCCATTTAAACGGGCATGTAAATAAACAAAATTGCCGTTATTGGAGCCCCGAAAATCCAAGGCGTAAGCATCAGAAGCCCTTACACAACCCTAAAATTACAGTTTGGGCTGCTATGTCAGCGCATGGCATCGTAGGCCCTTATTTTTTTGAGGACGACAGAGGTCGCGCATTAACTGTTACTTCGGAGCGGTATGTAGCAATGATAGAAGAGTTTTTGACACCAGCGTTGCAGAATTTTCCAGGCTATAATTCGCAGATCTGGTTTCAACAGGTCGGAGCAACTGCCCACACCTCCAACACTTCTATGCCCGTCGTCTGTCAACTTTTTCCCAGCAAAGTAATTTCTCGAAGAAGAGACATTTCCTGGCCACCACGTAGTCCAGATTTGACCCCAATAGACTTCTTTTTATAGGGCTATCTCAAGAGTAAAGTGTACGACACCACTCCGCGATCAGCTGATGTCCTGAAAGAAAATATCCGAAGAGAAATGGCAAGCATTACAGTGTTGACTTGCCGCGCAGTCATCGACAATTTTAGACGTCGTTTATATGAGTGCCGTGATGGTAATGGATTGCATTTAGACGATGTGATTTTTAAAACATAATTCCCATTCAATAAAGATGATAACAAAATATAATAATTCTTCATAATGTAACTAGTTTGGTTTTATTCCTTTTTTTCCAGCTCAAAGGACTTATGGGCCACCCTGTATTATAGCAAACAGAGCATGTGAGATGATACATCGGGCTGCTCATTCGCTAAAGTATTTTCAGGTATCCTAGCGAGGAAGTAGCAAAAAACCTCATGTCTATGTCCAGATAACGACTTCGATTTGCAACTGGCATTGCCACTCGACACTATCAGTTAAGGAAGCACCTCTCTGAGACTAGGTGTCACATCCTTATGTTGAGGATGTGAACAGGAGAATCGATTCACCTTTCTACAATGGGGCCTAATACAGGATGGTCTTTCTTCAGGCGAGATACGTTATTCAGTGATTTCACCCACATTAAATTTTACAACTCCGACCATACGTTTTAAATGAAGAAAAACGCATTTACGATTTCATAACCGTCTGCTTAGCTTTCCACATGAATATCTATTTTGTTGAATGGCGGGAAAGCGTCGTCTTAAGAAAAGGATTCGGCAGAATGCTTTGAGAGGAACCGGTATTATTATAAACAGAACTCCAAATAATTACTGAAATGAGACTCACCGAGTAAACAATTGCTAAACACGTAGATCTCACTAACAACATGGAACGCGTGCACACATGAGGACATAACCTACGAATCTAAGATTAGAACGTTGTCTTCGATGAAAGACCGCAAATAGAACGGCGATGAACTGCAGGTCATAAGTGATTTAAAAATAATCTGTCCGATATCGAGAATAAACCTCCTCCGCTGATTTTTCTATCTCTATACTTAGCGGTACGTGCTTTATTCGTTGTCAATTATTGTAGTGAATTACGTTACATTCTGAAGCTGAACTTTTCAGTATTACAGCAACCGGAATCGAGAAAGCTGTGCTAACGCTCTATTGCTCTGATTTGCCTTCCTAATTCGAAGGACCCCTTTTTGGTCATGGCTTTCCTATTTTCCTAATGTAATTTTTGCCTTACTAAAGAAGAAAAAAACTCGAAGTAGATTGACTCTATACTTCCTACGCCTCCGTTGGAGATTTCAAAGAAAAGGGATGAGTCAAGTCGTTTCAAAAAGCGTAATCGAATCGTGAATACGTATGTTCACTTAGATACAATAAATCTTCGACCTCTACGTATCAATGTATATAAAAGAAGTCCATCATATTTCTGTTTCCTGGCGGCTGTAGGGAAAAGATGTGACTCATTATGTCTAACAGGTGCATAATATTACCGGGACCAGCAGGTTCTTAATGATAGAAAGACTGTCACTGACACCAAACTACCAACAATTTACAACCAGCAGGAGTCTCTGAAACGTTGCACCATGTTCTAGCGATTTTTATTTTTTTTTGTCTGTCGTTGTCCGTAGCCACTGAATCAAATTTCAATATCTACGACTACCTAAACGATTGAAGTATTGAACTCGCGATTCAGTTCGCAAATCTTCTATTAGTTAAAGATATACAGGGTGGCGCATCGAAAACGAAACAGACGCATTTACTGGCAGCTCAGTTTTTTTTGGAAAAACGCCCAGACCCGACGATTTTGTTTTCGAGGGGGACACAAGTTTGGCAAAAAATCACGTTAGCACGTGCAGCCCCCTAAGCGGGGGTGACACCACCCCCAAAATCTTAAATGGAAAGGGGGGTCGACTGATACCTTATTTTAAAGGTCTTTCAATTCCCTTTATAATGATATAAAATTAATGTACTTCAGTTCAGTAGTTTTTAAGATTTATTGATTTTCAAATGACCCCACATAAAGAAATCCAAAGGTGATAAATCTGGCGATCTTGAGGGCCATTCAATGGCATCTCTTCTACCAATCCATCCATCTGGAAACGTCTGATCTAAATATTGTCGAACACGTAATGCGTAATGTGGTGTGGCACCATCCTGTTGGAACATCAACCTATTCGCAATGTACCGCCGATCATTCTGATTTTCAATTATGGCTGTTAATGCAGGATCTATGGCGTCTTCCAGTAATTCCAAATACATTTCACCGGTCAAATCTCCAGGTAAGAAAAAAGGACCAACTAAAGATCGCCAAAAATACCAGCCAAAACATTTAATTTTTGTGGCTGCTGCGTATGAACCTCATGATAAATTCTGGGATTAGAATCGGACCAATATCGGCAGTTATGACGATCTACTACGCCATTTAAGAAAAAGGAACACTCTTCGGAAAAGCAAGTGTTGAATAGAAAATGTTCATCGTTTATAATCCGTTCACTCATATCTTCGCAAAATTGTAATCGCCGATCAAAATCGTCTTCATTAAGTTCTTGTACCAGGTGAATTTTATACGGATGAAAACTGTGGGCCTTTAGAATCCGTTGGACAGTACGTCTACTAACACC